AATTATGGGGTATCATTATTCGACTGAGTTAATGCAACACTTTATCATATGGAATTCCTTACAAATGCAATTACTGTAGCAAAAAAACATGATTGGAAATAGCTTTAACATATTTGTGACACATTTTGACTTTGAAAAATTTGCATGAACTATTGTTTTCAGCAAGCTGATTTGAAACCTATTAATCACTTTGTTGTCACAGGCACTGTTCAAAGAGCAATGGAATGATAATCAGAATAAAAATATTAATATGATTCAATAGAGCATTATCTTATCTACATTGGAAATTAAAACATTTACAAATATAACCTTATTACTGTGCAAATAAAATTTTAATGTACTCTAACGAAACAAGTCACAGGGAATAATAGTGTCACTCTTCATGAATACAGTTGAGTCAAAATGGAAACTAGGTTTCTTTTCATGTTTTTCCTTTGAAATGACACAGTGTTTGTTTTTCAACATTTTTTCTTTGAGATTACATTGTAAATAGACATAAAAATCAAACAACTGAGTGGAACAGAAATAAGACATGATTAAAATTACATTTGTATCCCTGGTGGATTTCATTTAATAAGATCATTTTGAATTAAATAAAAAATGACAATGAGAAGCAGTTACAGTGTAAAACATCTACTCTGCACGGACAAATTTGCTTCTTGGCTATAACACATAATTCAACACATTAGAAGTAATTCAACAAATGAGCACCCTTGAACACAAAGCAGTGAATTTTATATTTTTATTTGTTAATGTTGTATTGTAATTTTTTTAAAAAAGGATATATGCGTGAGATTTGGAGGGCGATTATACATAGCAAATGATATTTGTACTGACACATTCTAAATTCCCTACACTTAAGTGCTATCATATATCAATCACTACAAATAGAAATATTTTCCCTACTTGTCTATAATGGGAAATCCCACCAAAAATCCACATTGTATTTTTAAGATCATATCTGAGGTAGACTTGGGAATGAACCTGAGTTGATCACTGGCAGATGAAACTCAAATACAAGATGTTGTATATTTCAAGTAAAAATAAATCAACATATGTACTCCAGGGACAGGATACAACCTCCAAGAGGGAAGTTGAAAGAGACCTGGGGGTGATACTTGACTCAATACTCATGGCAATGTCCAAACCATGTGAGTGCAAAAACAAAGTGAACAGGTCTAGTGCCAAATTCCAATGAAAGGTTGGCAGAAACTCACTTTCCTCTCTCCATAGATGCTGCCTGACCTGTGGTTTGTTCCCAGCGACTTCTGTTTTTATTTCAGATTTCCAGCATCTGCTGTATTTTGCCTTTTGTCTAGTGCCAAATTTGCTGAGTTCAAATCCTGGAAACCCAGCTGTGCGATAATCTGGTCAGTTTGCACCTGAAATACTGAAAACAGTTCTAACAACAAGATTCCATTTATTCCATTTATAAAGCGCCTTTCACGTCAGGAGGACGTCCCAAGGCGCTGAACCACCGCAATATTAACAGACGATTCAGCTCTTCCTGATAGCCCAATGGAAACCAGGACTGGTCCCATTGTTAGCTGGGAGAAATTCCATCATATCTAGATTTACTCTTTTAAAGTAACATTTTGGAGTATCCAGAAGTTTGAAATTATTAAGTACAATTTTAATTTTGAAGCTGGCTTTCTATAAAAACTGTGATCCATTGCAAGACATTACAGTCCATGAAGAGAGCACATAAATGCAAGTTGTTCTAGCAAATTCTTTATCCATATTAAGATGAGTCACAATTAATTTATACATTCAAGAGACCAAGCATTTACAAGTCATTTGTATCAGCGTGAAAGGTAATGTATTTGTAGATGTATGGTATAATGTAAATGAGCTAAGTGTTATGTCAGGTATATTTATAATTTCTGAACGCAAATGAATAAAATGAGTAAATGAATAGTCAGTTATGATGGAGCTGTGTACTGTACCAATGTGGAAGTGTTCTGGAACAACATATTGGTGAACCACTATGACAGTGTAAACAGGGCATTGCTGTACCTATGTGACGCAGTCATGGAACAGCGTATTGGCATACTAATGCCTTCTTCCTCAGAATGGAAGGAGCAGGGTTTAGGCCACAATTGCATGCAAAGCTAGTTTCTTGACCATACCAACAAAGTGAAGTGTCAAGTAAAGGATAAGCACTGCCCAACGATGAATCATGTCTGAGCAGCCAGCGCGAGAGACCTCAGCCAATGCCTGGCCACAGATTTCCTTCTTACCTTCTGAACAATGGTGCATGAGATGGGGGAGCTTAAGGGGAGAGGAAACAAAGTAGAAAATAGGCCAAAAAATAACTTATACCAATGGAAGGATAAGAAAGATGGAAAGATGCTTAATCTGAATAAGTGATGTTTTTGTTGCAAAATTAGGACATTTTGATCAAATATTTAGTTCAATAATTGCAAAGTAATGCATTCAGATGATAAGACAGTACAGGACCGCTATACATACACTGAACTCAACAATGAATACTGCATTCTTTGAAGACTGCCCTTGTTGTTGGTTAGATCCACAGATTACTCGTGTAGAGATAATTCCCCCAAACTCTAAGAGGAACATTATGTAACAATCAACACATCAAATTGGAATTTCTCCAATATTAACTTGGAATGGAAACCATTTTTCCTTTGTATTTCCTGGGTATTTGAAACAAGATAATATTGATTTGCAGAGCACTTTCAACAAGAATCAAACACTTCATGTTTTTCTAAAATTAAAAAATTATAACTGTATATTATTTGACTTCAGTCACCAATATAATCATTTATTAATTTATTGGATGGATGAATTTTTATTGTATCTTAACAAATAAGGACTTTGCTGAAGAGCAAAAGCCAGTTCCCTGAACACTTGGTTGTTGCAGCCAGCAGCATTATTCTCTGGTGATTTCAAATATTCTTTCTCAGCATTACAAAAAGTAGAGCACATTTAAATCAGAACCTTCCTTTGGCAAGCTGCCAGAATCTCGAGCTAAGTAAGCACATTCAATCATATTTAACTAAATATGTATGCAGTGTGCTGATGGTGCTATGGGGTGAATACAGTACAATAAATTACTTGAAAACAGTTGGAATCGCAATAAAATAGGAAAATAAAATATGCAGTGATCTACATTAACATTTTATGGACTTGCACTATGGGCAAGTGGCTCTCTAACAATCAATGGTCTTAACATCAGACCTAATGCAATACACCAACAATTTTGTGTTTCCTAATTATTCAAACAACCACATTCACAAACTGATTTCATGTTGCTGTTTCATTTAGCATTGTAATTGTTAAGTTATGCTTATCCGAACCCTTGATTATCAAAACTAATTAGCTACCTAACAAACTGTTTTAGATAATTGGATATATACCGACAATCTTTATAAACTGTTCCACAAATAGTTTGAAACGTTAAGCAATTCAGAATCGCTCTAGCCAATGCAATAAATTGGCCCAGTCGTGCACAAAGTCAACTGATATGCAAAGACTCATTTGCACATCTAGCAAATTTAGACTAGTTCCACAACATTCGTGCTGCATCTCAATGAAAAGGAGTATCTTATTTTAATAGGTGGCCCCTGAATGCTAAAATAGATTTGACCAGTAAAGGCAGAAAGCACATGCAGAGCATATGGTTTCAAATTACAGCCTTCATTGACATTAGACTATATTCCGTGGATTGGTTTTGTTCCTCCAAGTTTGAACTGCTAGATATTGTGCTTCAAAGTGGCATATCTCGTCATCTTAGGGGACACCTATCTGTCCCTCAGAACACTCTTGTTTGCCACTAGAGTGGCATTGATAACAACCATATAAAGATTTCATGCCCAGACTCTCTTAAACTCCAAATGGGCACACTACTTGTAAGAAGAAATGAAAGATAGAAAAAAAANCACAAAACATATTAAAGAAATAGAAGAGTTGTCATTAAGTGCCCAATAATTTTTAATTTTGAGGATTAACACGCAGGCCTAAAACAAGCCCATTCAGGCAAGCAAGGTTTTGTTTTACATGCCCAACTGTTTTATACTTGCTCTAGGCAACAGGGCAACTGGTAATATAGACCCCCTAATGTGCATAGATAATTATCCAGAATCCAGCCTGCCAAAACCTTTAAATCCTTTCTGCAGTATTGCTAGTTTTGTGAATGCTTACTCTGCTAGATTAACCTTTAGTCTCTTCATATTCTGAAAATGACTAACACTGAAAATATGCATCCAACAGCTTAAAACTGAACCAATCAATGAATGCTCTTCAAATTCATTCCCTACCAATATTTACTCAAACAAATTTTACTCCAGGTACAACATATATTCAATGATTTGATTTTGCTTGAAACCTTTCAAATACTTATTATGTTCTTTAAAGAGAGATGAAAAATATTTATCACCAAGCAAAACCAAAAGATTATTAAATTATAAACCAGGGTCTTTGCAATTCTTGACTGTTTTGCAATATTCCGTCAATACAGCAGAACAAAGCACCAAACACTAAGATAGCATAAATTGTTACCATAGTTATGTGATATTATTTTGATGCAAAGCTTGAATTATTCGATAAAAGATGGTGATTGAAAACATGAGTCCATTGGATTTTTACATCAAAGACCCATTATGCAGTTTCAGATGTCAAGCCCAAACGTTTGAAACTGGCCATCAGTATGCTTATATAAAGCAAAGCTAAATCAATGCAGAATCACATTTTTTCTGCCATGTTCAATAACGCCAACTTGCTGTTCTATAAGCAAGAACGTCAATGACATAAGAATTTGATTATATAATAAGTGTTACAACACTTCAAACCAGGAGATTAGTCTGATTTCCAAGCAATAAACTCCTTCATGTCACTATCCAAATAACTTCAATACGATGCTTCTACTTAGTACCTATTGTCTCAAGTGAACCTTGTAAATAAAGTGAAAGAAAATGGGGAAAAAGTTTTTTTTAAGCTGAATTCCAAGCTCAAATAAAATGTAAGAATAAAATAATTACCGAGGTCAGCCTTTTCTTTTAACACATCCTTGAAATTGAGGCCCATGTTGAGGGTACATTGCCTGTAGTGATGGAGGGCTTCCTTTTGTCTATTCATCTCCAGCTCTTTTCTCTTTGCGGATTTCAGTGGCACCGCCCCAAGGCCCCGTGTCCATGTGCTGAAATCTGAGCACGCCCATTTCAGCAGGTCATCCAGCTTCACAACTACTTTCTCTGAAACAGCCACAACTTCATCCTGTAAACAATACGCAGGACAACAAAGCAAAAGCAACATGACCCTGCTGATTCTTCACAATACATAACACTATCTTTTACCTCTAGACAATCTCATTTTCAATGTACTATGTTGTGGCACTTCAAATTTTAATACATACAAGTATACTTTTAGAGGGGGAATAATTTGATGATTTTTGTTCTTTTCTTTCCCCTTCCTCCTCTCATTAATCCAACTCTTTCTGGTTCTCACTAGTCATCAGGTACCTTACCCAATTGGCCACCCTTCATTCATAACTCAGGTAGTAAGTATCGGCTGTTGTTGGACTGTGTTACGCATTGCAATTGAGCCCAATCTTGATTATTTTACACATTATAAATTTATTTTTCATCTCAAGCTTTGACTTCCCTTAATCTATGGATTATTCTCCACGTGATAAAGTAGTATGCAACCTACTTCCCAGAAATTTTCAGTTCCCCCACCTCCTTCTCACACACATTAATCTTAATATGCTGTTAGGAAGCGTGTATTAGTATGGGTCAGAATGAGTTTCCCTTCAGTTTTACTCCCTCACTAAGGTGGTGTCTGTCCTCTGCTGGAGACTTCCTCCAGAAATTCAATGGGTGAATAAGTGTAGAGATGAGGCAGTGTCAATATCACCCATAACACTAGGCTGCCAATGCACTGAACCAACGTGCTGTCGAGATGATTGTTTTGAAAATAATTTTAAGTTACTTTACTAAGTGATTTTGATTGTTTGGGCTGCCATAAAAATCTACTCACCTACTCTGTTTAACAGATGGAATTGTAGTTTCTAACCAACACTTCACTTACCCTGGGTGAATAAACTAACCAGGACAAAACTTTACAAAGAACATTTGAGATGAAGGGTTCAAATACAATTAAGGTAAACACGATCTGTGTAATGCTAATGTTCAACTGCCAGTCCATTTTGCAACTGTCAGTTGAAAGAGTACAATATCTCAAAGGGTTAAGTCATATTTCCATTATATTCAAAGCACAATAATGGATGCCCAAATGAGTTTCTTTTAAAACATATCAAATTCTAACGATTCTTCCAGTTTCCTTCCTAAATAAACCTGATTTTTTTTCATTACGTTATTAGATTGCACTGATGCATTTAACATGTATCAATGCAGATTAAATGAGAATCCGATACAATTAATGCAACAAAATTCATAATTAGTACTTTAAAAACAATTGTTACTTATTTATCTTTAACATAAAAGGTTAATGTGTTACTCGTATTGGCTTACAGAAAAAAGGTTTGTGGAAGAAAGTTTGATTTGCAACACACATGCCAAAGATAAAAGACATTTGCAAGTTTCAATATCCATTTTGAATCTTTTGTTGTCTGCTGGTTTTATAATTTGTTTCAGTTCTGTTTCATGCTTACTGCCTTGATGAGTACATCTGCTAGTTGTGTAGGCAGCAATGCTTTAGCTTGTAATATGAGAAGGTGAAAACACTCACTTGCCCAAGTTCATCAAATCAACTTTTCTGCCAGAATTTCCAGATGCTTGTATAAACACTCTATTTCCAACAATGACTAAATTGACTACATGATTCTATCACTAAAGAATTTCACTCCCCAAATCAGTATTCGTCTTAATCATATTCAGAGTTCCTAATTTAGAATATAGTTTTGGGTTAAAAGGAAGAAAACAGATGTAACAGAGCTTCCACAGATTCTTAAGATTTATTAGTGGTTGTAAATCTCAAGAACAAAGATTAAGGAGACTGCTCTATGTAACAAGCACATTAAACCTATCTTAGTCACACATAAACAATATTGAAGATCAATGAAATGCATTTTCATTATTTGTTCAAAGTACCCAATATCCACTTAAAGGGATACCAAAAGGGTAATACTTTACTATAATGTATAATTTTCTGGCAATCATATTACAGGAAACCACCTATAACACAAAATGCTTGATAACTGTACAGTAAAATGCTGTTCACAGTTAACAATGAAATTGTATGTGCCCATCCATATAATAGTTTCAGTTAATGTACGGTTTGGCCTATTCAGCCCTTTGATAAAACGGCTACCATAGAAAGAAAATCTGTCATGCTGAGAATGTTTCAGTCTGTTGCTTCATGAGGTCAAAGAAAGAATTCCTTAGGTCAAAACAGATTAGTACACCTGCTTTGCTGTCTATTGAATTACTGACCTAGCAACATGAGAAATGATGCCTACAGGAATGAAAAAAAGACTTTATGGAAATGACTATCTAGTAATATGTGTTCTTAAGAAAACAAATTACTGCCTGACATGCAGATTTTCCAAATTGGTTCTATGTCTTTAATCAGCGGAAGAAGTTCAAATCAAAGAACAGCATTGTATCTACATTAGATTTAAGATGCTAACATTAAAAACTATAAATATTATGTTAACCAAACAAGACAAATATGCATTTTGAACAAAAAAAATACTCATTTTGTGAACTGGCATCCTTCATTAAGTGTTACTATTACCACCAATGCTGTGCACACTGGTTTTAATAACAAAACTATTATTACTTAATTTATCCTTATAGCACATAATAGTTGATAATGCAGTATGTCAAAAAAGTTGATAAAAAATGTCTTATTAAGAATGAAATTATATAAGACAAATAACAATCAGGAATTCTATTCTTTGAACCATTCTTTAAATTTGCTGAATATTTATATCCATTTTGATTATATAGCAGCTATATGATCACTATACGGATAACAGACACTACTTTACTTTATTGACTTTGTTTCACACAAGTTGTCAATGTTCTTGGGGCCTTCATTTCACAACAATGTACCAAACCTCACACTGCAGTTTTTTTATATAACAGATTCATGTTGATGTTTGGTAGTTGCATCCTGTGGCTTCTTGTTTACAACCTATTTTGATTAGGTTAGCAATTCAAACCTGATAACAGTGCCTGTATTACCACAACTATCACTGCAATACCAATGTTCCATTTTCTATTGAAGTTTGGCTTGTACAGTTGCAAAATAAAAACTAGAAAATAAAATCCTTCACACTGACCACCTACAGCCCTGGCACCTTCAAATGCAAACATGTAATCTTGCCAGAAACCATAATACTTTCTGGATCACAGCCAGGGGAAATTTGAACCAATCTTCTGTAGTGTTGTCCTCTAAGAGAACACTCTGTAACCTTTGCAACCCAGTTATTTCATTGTTAAAGTTAGCAATGAACTGCAAAAAGTAATTGGAGCTCTATCATTCAGTCCACAATACTATTTTAGGGAAGAATGGTTTATGAGTATTTGTTAACTGGATTACTGGAAGCTAATTTAAAGCAGTCAGAGGCTTGGCACTAACTCTTGAGTTTATTCCCCTTTTTACCCTGAACAAACAATCATTTTAAAATATTCTAAAAACAAGATTATCAATCTTTTTCAAAGTAGACATGCCAACACTAGAACTGGGAGTGCATTTTGAGCACATGTTAATTTCATTCCTAGGCATCCATTTGCTTGTGCCTCTTCAAGCCTTGTTTAGAAATGTAAAACATTAACAAAGTGATTGCACTACATTTATATTCATGTCATCATTTCTTCTAACTATCCTTTGACTGAAAAGTTATTTTAGCATACCTCGAGTTACTGCATTTATGACTGTTTCACTTTGCATCACTTATTGTACTGAAGTTACTGTTTTGCTGAACTTGAATTTTGAAATAGACAAATTACTCTTGGGAAAAGCATATTGCAGTTTTGATGTTACTCTTGAAAATAGCTGACATTACAACAAATGAAAAAGCATGATGCTGATCTTGTGAGATTCAGAAATGTAAAATTAGAAATTTGTTAACAATTCTGCTTACTGTATTTGTTAATCAAATTTACATAATTGTGTTCATTAATACGCGTGACCCTCCGGGGCTGGGAACATTAGTTTACTGTAAAATACAATGCAGTCATTTCTGCTAGGAATATGTTACTCTTATTATAACTGATTTATACCACTTTTAATGTGTGGGTGCAATTAATATCTTATGACTCACAGTACAGCACTGCAACATAGATAAGAGTTTAAATTGGGAGGGAATTTTCTGTGATGGTTTAGATTAATCCCCTTTGGGTAGGAAATGAAGGATATAATACACAATATTATAATAGCAGAAATAAATGGTCTGATGTCTCAAAAATCAACAAGAAGTGGTGATCATATTTGAGCTTTAACTACCTTTTTTTAAAAGAAGACTAATAATCTTGGGAAGAGTTTGCAGTGCTATAAGGAGAGGAAGTGGTACTGGCCGTGAATTAAGGTGTAACAGCCTAAAGAAGGATGGCTATGATGGCAATTTCAGGAATGATAAAGTAATAGATTTGTTGAAGAAGTCGGCCTTCTTTGTAAAGTGAGGGGGAAAGCTGGAATAGCAGGGAAAAAGTTGCTTGGACTATATATAATATAGTCTGGTCCAATTAGGAGCCATTGTTTTTTTTCAACTTTAAATGACATATGCTTTGTATTAATTGAGAAACTAACAAAGAGAGCATCACAAGGAATTAATGTCGGAAATCTTGTTAATTATTAATTTTTCAAATCATTTTACGATTTTGAAATACAAATATTGACCTTTGTTCTTTCATTTACAAATCCAAAACATGGTTTGTTCTTCCATATAAAATAATCTAACCAATATTTTTTTTCCAGTCCCAATGTTTGCATAGAATGAATTTAATTCCTGCAGAGACCACATTTCAAATGAATGCAACTATTATGATCTAATACCCAAATATTAAAAGGAATGCATTGTGTACAGTATGGAGTCCATACATGTTTGGCATCATGTGTTGTTCAATTGGAATGCACGTTTTAAATTAACAATTGATTTCACATGAGACCTTAAACTGTATTGTATTTACAGATTAAAGTACAATAATAGATCAATTAACTTAAAAGCTATTTCCCTCCCTACCCCCACTCCCCCCCCCCCTCCCCCAAACACACACACACACACCACAGAGAGAAATACAGTACAGGAAAACAAATCCGTGCTTAAATGAAGAGGAATGTAATCCGAGAGAGAGAGAGAGAGAGAGAAAGAGAGAGAGGAGAAAATAAAATGTAGGCGATTGCTCTAAACTCTTGACAAGGATCCGTATGCATACGGTATGTCTATTAATGCGTGACAACAGCGTAGCATATTTATTAATGGAAGTCTCGTATTGGCCTCGCTGGGCGCTGGATGCTGGTGTTGGTTTCTCTGGGCGCAGGGCCAGGCCGGGATCACTGTGTGCGCTTGTTGCTGTTTCTGCTGCCGTTCTGCTAATGAATGACTAACTCTGGCCAGAGGGGAAATGACATCAGCGGGCGTGAAATACACAGCATCTGGAAACTACAACCTGCTTCTACCATCATTTTTGTTTATTGTTGATTGCAGCAGTCATTTGCATAAGTTTCGGGGTGTTTCCCCTCCCCCCCCCCCCCTCTCTCTCTCTCTCTCTCTCCAACGGGAGCAAACTTCTCCCGACGCGGCAATAAATCAGCAAATGGTCTCAGCGTTTCCTGCAGCGAAAGACCACTGATATCCAGAGGCTAATAATTAACAGGACCACCTTTGCCCTTGAATCGAATATCATAAATAGCAGATCGGCGTATTTGTGAGTCACTGCGATTTCTGTGGAAATAAATGTTCCTAAAACTTGACTCTCCCGCCCCGAATAAAGTTCTGCTCGGTTTCCTCTGCGATGAAAGGTCACAGTCTGACTTGAAACAGTTAGTGTGGCGGAATAAACGGGATCATCCAATTCAATTGATGAATAACTTTGGAGATTATTAAAATTATATTTTGTTTCACTTGAAAGGGCAAATTTATCTTCGCAGTGTACAGGAGATAAATTCATGTCAAAATCTGAAATGATTGCATTCATAAATAATTTACCATTCACAATAAACTAATCATCTTCAGTGGCGCAGCATTGGGGGTGAGGGGGTAGTGGTGGTGGGGGGGGGGGGATGGTTTTGCAGGGAAAGTCTGGATCTGTGATGGTTATAGTTAATTCTGTTTTTCAGATCAGTAACTGCGTAAGTAATGAATTTCAAAAGCAAATAATAAGGCAGGAGGCGGGGGAGGGGGAGAGACAGCTGCACAGGAAAAGTTAGACAGGGGGAGGGGAAACAGTACTCTGTGGGAGAGAGGTCACTAAATGTTTTCAACAGTCTTTATTAGTTACAGTGTATTTAGCGCTTATTGTCGACATCGAAAGGAGTCAAATTAGCCCATACTCTATTCCCACATCTAATTTTACAGTAACATTAGGGTTCGAAATCTTTCTGCAGCGTTTTGAAAACACACACACACACAAAAAGAACTGATATGAGGGGCGTAAACTGCCTCTAAACCTGTTGCAGATATGAAAAGGTAATTTGACACGCCGGCTTTTCAGAATGCACAATTAACTCCATCGTGCAGACAAGAGCTGTTTTCATTAGCAAACTGATCGCCTGGAGTGTTTACAATCCATACAGGGATCAGTAGGTTTCGCTCCTATCATATACTGTAAAATGCAGGGTGTTTTTTTTAAAAAAAAATGCAGAACAATTACAATTCAGGTCGTGTTAAACCACTTCCACCGCGTAATTATTAATCACCGATTTCACACACACACACACACACACACACACACTCACACACCTCGCTACTAAATCGCAGAGCACATCGAGACGAAACAAGCTCTCCCTTCCCGTTTTTTTTGTATTTATATGGTAACAGAATTCAGAATGTGTGTGAAAAAAAAAGTTGTTTAAAAATTTGCGTCATTGCATGGAAAATTGAGTGAGGCGAGTTTCCTTGGCACGATCTATATTATTTTTTTTCTCTCTCTCTCGAAATCTTGCCGGCTGGATGTTTATATGGAAAGAATCGCTTTTCATTACATACTGTAGAGACACATCACATGTTTAAGATTAAAAAGCATCGAGCCGGTGGTTGCATAACATAATGCCTTGTGTTAAGACGCTCTGTATAAAGAGTATTCATTTTTCAGTCTCTCATTGTACCTGTCCCCCCTGTCCCTGTTCACCTTAGTTACACGCCTTCTGTAATAGCTTTGATCTCATTCGGCTCCATTTCGTAATTTCCGCCCTCTTCTACATATCAGATATTTTAATCACACAAGCACTTCAGAAAGCACTAGAAATACCCAATCAAACTACAAGTAAAAGATTTACCAAAATATCCCCCCCCAAAAAAACACACACACACACACCCCAACACACACACACACACACCCCCACCCTCCCAACACACACACAAACACACACACACACCACCACCACCACCTTACAATATGTGCACACATCTGAAATATTTACTTTTGCTTTGAAAAGCACAAGCCGTTTCAATGCACCGATCTCCCCAGACAAAGGCAAGGTATTATTTAATACAGGTCAAATTTCATCAAGCAGCTAAATATATCGAGATTAGAAAAAAATATGAAGTAAAGTAAAACAGAACAAAAAAACAGGGGTCATCACCTCTCCATGGTCGACTGCCCTTCCTTGGGGTGTATCTTCAGGAAGAAAATAAAGTTTGGAACTCGACAAAAGTTGATTGTTATTTCTTTCTTCCCACAACAGCTGGAGTTCTGCTATGCAAATCGGATCTTCTGGCTTACATCTTACAAAGAAAAAGTCGCCAAGGGACAAAATTCTTGGTCTCCCTTCAAGATTGAATTTGAAAGCTTTGTAGAAAATGTAGGGTCCGTGTAAACCACACGGAGAACCAACCCACTAAGAAGAAAATAAAAAAAAATTAAATAAATAAACATATTATCAAAAATTTGAACTTAATTGGCCTGTGAAGGAATTTTTTTTTAAAAAAAACCAACACCACCAACAACCAACAACTGTGCGAAAAAAAAATGTATATATATATAAACGTGTGTGTGTGTGTCTGTGTGTGTCTCTGTGTGTGTGTGTGTGTGTGTGTGTCTCTGTGTGTGTGTTTCGAGGTATTGCTTAAAAGAGTTTCTGGGTTCACCCCCAAAGAACTTGACACATTATTATATCGCAGCTCGTTAGAATTACAGAGTAGGTTAACACGGTAGAAAGGCAAGATCGGTTTGGAGGCGAAATAGTGACAATATATATATATATATATATATATGTAAGAAAAAAAAACACAACAGCAGCAGCGGGGCAGCAGCAAGCGGCAGTGAATAATAATACCTTGATTGAGTTCGTCTCCATATCGCCGCTGTGAATTGATTGAAGTCTACATTCTCCTCCAAAGTTGGCTTGAATGAATTTCCCAGGTCCTGGCAGAGCAGAGCTGCTCCCCGACCATCCAAACCCTCTCCAGCCCTCCCAATATCAAATTCAGTTCCCTCCGCCGCTTCCACCTCGAGCCTCTCGGACGCAGCACCTGATGAGTCGCCGGCCACCTCCACGTTGGCTGGTGTGTGGGGGCTTGTGTTTGTGTGTGTGTGTGTGGGAAGGGGGGGCTTGTGGTGGGCTGCGTTTGTAGTGTGTGTGTGTGTGTGTGTGTTGGGGGGGGGGGGGGGGGGTGTGGGGGCTGTTGGTTGGTGCTGGGGATCCTTTTTCAAGTCATGTGGATTTTTCTTCCTTTTTTTTTTGCGCGCACGGAATGACAATCTGTGCAGCTCCACCGACTCCCCGGTGCGTCCCGGTCCCGGTCCCGGTCCTGGTCCTGGTCCCGGTCCCGGTCCTGGTCCTGGTCCCGGTCCCGGTCCTGGTCCTGGTCCCGGTCCTGGTCCTGGTCCTGGTCCCGGTCCTGGTCCTGGTCCCGGTCCTGGTCCGGCTCTCCCTCGCACCACGCGAATCGGGACGTGTTGCTCAGGGTGGATGGGTGGGTGGGTGGGGGGCTGTGGGTGGGTGGGTGGGAAGCTCACTCCGCTGTCCGGGCCGCGCACCCCTCCTCCCCACGGTCCAGGGCAACCGCGGCGATCGCTGTGTGTGTGTGTGTGTGTGTGTATATATATATATTTATATAATTTTTTTTTAATGGGAGAAATTGTTGTGTTTTAAGTGTCTATCTATCTGTAACAGCCTGCGGCGTGACGTAAGCCTGTGTTTTAAGAGACAAGATTTCCCGCAGCCACTCGGCGGGCACGCGCACGGCGTGCGGGCGGAGGGAGGTGTGGGGGCGCGCCCGTCCTCGGGAGCGCGCACTTTGCTCAGGGGTTCACAGTTGGAAGAGAGGGGTTGCGGGGGGGGGGGGGGGGGTGGGTGGGTGGGGAGCCACTTGGTGCAGTGATGGGTGTGTGTGTGTGTGTGGGGGGGGGGGGGGTGGGGGGTTGCGGGGGGTGGGATGGGGGGAGAGGATTGCTCACACTCTCAGTCCTTACAATCACGCTTCAAGACTTTCCTCTTCCATCTTGCCTACGGTCGCCTCGACGCTCTTGGACGCTACCCTGCGTGAGACGCGCTGCACAAACGCAAATTGCTGTCGTCGCAGCGTCAGGAGTTTCACGCTCCGCCATTAAATTGTTATGCTCGGGATCATGTACAGTCTCGGGAATGCTCGCACATCCCTGCAGGCTCAGGCATAATCAATCCTAAGTCTCAGAAACACGCTCATTGCTTAGTTGCAGGGATGTGCAACCAGACCAGTCTCTGCCACGCCGAGGCTTGTTCTCCGTGTCTTAGCTTTAACGACACTTTTTCTAGGAATCCATTTCCACTGTTGACTTGGAACTTGGAATCACACGGTCTAAGGGGACATGGTCCAATGCAGTGCTGGGGGTGTGTTGCGTTCTCGGAGGTGCCATCCTTTGGATGAGATTTTAAATATCTGCCTGTTCAAGTGGATGTTTAAGACCCCTTGGCACTATTCGAAAAAGAGAAAGGAGTTTCTCTTGGTGTCCTGGCCAATATTCGTCCAAAATAAAATTGGTCACACTCTATAGTTGTCTGTGGGACATTGCTGTGTGCAACTGACTGCTGCGTTTCTTCCACAAAATACACAGTCAGTCCACTTTACACTATATCCTGTGAAGTGCTTTAAGATGTCTCAACAATGTGATAAGGTTTTATATCAAATGTAAGAATTATTATTAATATTATTACCCTCTCTGCAAAGAAATATTTCCTGCTGTCTGAGCTAAAATTGTACTTCACAATCTTGAACTTGTGCCTTCTTGTCCTGCTGCCTTGGCCTTGGTGTACCTGAAGGTATTGTTTAAGGTGTGTTTTCTCTTTCGAATAAATATATAGCACCTGGAGCGTCGAAACATCTCAAAGCACATCACAGTTATTGCTGTCAAGTACACTTGTGCACCACGTTGTCTTCTCTTGTCTTCTGTCTTCTCTTTTCAAAGAGTGTCGTGGGATCTTTTACATCCACCTGAACGGTCAGACAAGATCTCAGCTTAACATCAAATTCAAAGTACAGCACCTCGGACAATACTCCCCGGATATTGCACCGGATTGGGGGCTAAGAGTGGGATCTCCAAGTCCCAACTCTGGGCTTGAACCCCAAACCTTCAACCATTTATACACTTTATAACCACTTATAAGGCCTCCCTCCAAGATGTTTTTTCGAGACTGAAGTTTATCTTGATCATAATAATAATAATAATAATAATAATAATGATAATAATAGTATTTGCATTTGATATAGTGCTTTAACAAGACGCTTCTCATTGGACCCTGGTGACTTGCCTCCAGGGAGCCTCAGCAACTCGCTCATTCCTGACGGCCTCGGGAGCGCGCTTTGCCCTGACAGCCTCAGTCGCGGGAATGCGCTCACGTCCCGGGAGCGCGCACTCCCCTCACCCGGTTCCAGTCTCAGATCCGATCGGCTCACCCGCGCACGATTTATACGGGCGGCGCGCACACTTCCTAACTCACTCACTCAGCACAAGAGAGAGAGAGAGAGAGAGAGAGAAAAAAAAACCCTCTTAAAACTGGAAACAGCGGCAGCAGCAGCGCCGCATCACGAGATCCGATCTTAACAGAGCTCAAGTCCTATAAAGCTGTCATTTACAATCCGGTTGATGTCTTCTCGGAAACGTCTCGCCTTCGGTGCGGGGATTCAGTAACGCTAAACTATGTTTCCCTTTCCCAGTTCTTTTGATGCAATGCAATAACCTGTGCGGTGTGTGTGTATAAAACGCTGCTGTGGTTATTTTTTGTCCCGAATCGCCGAGCTTTTTCCCTGTCTTACAGATTTTTTGCTGGCAGTTTTCCAGCTCATCTCGAAATTCGCAGCCTTGCATGTTTTTTTTTCTTTTAATATTCACAAACGAGGGTCTGGTGCAATGAGTTGGCGCACTCCAGTGTTGCGTAACGTTAAAACTGGATACGGTACTTTGTTAATAATTAATTACTTTCAAAGGTCTTTTTTTTTTCTTCCTTTTTTTTCTGGTTGCGATCTCACGTAATAGAAAACACGAGCACCAGGAGCAGGAGTGCAGACCCCTTGTTAAGTAGATAGAGGGAACGGTGTAATTATGTCTGATGGTTTCATACGGTCGGGGCTGCAGTAAACTGTTCAAAGCCCCGCACGTAAATAGCTCCTTTACGCTATAGATCTATTTATGTGCACTGCAAAGCTGAGTGTTATTAATACAGCAGCCAGAATGCAGGTAGGGTGTTATGTATTCAAAACAAGAATTGCACCGTTTCTGCTGCCCACAGAATTTGTCAACATTTTGGGGTCTTTTCTTGGGTTATTTGGTTTTGTTACTTTCACACTCATGAGCCCCCCCCCTCCCTCCCCTCCCCAACCCCCACCGTCACCACCAACACCACCAAATAAACGCCTTCGCTATTTAGTTTGAACGGAACTCAAACGTCCAAATGACCTTCAAATCAACGGGAAGGGGAGAGTGTATGTGTGTGTGTGGGGGGGGGGGGGGGGGGGGGAATTTTTGCATTACTCTGGAGTTTGAAACAATCTGGTTCACTCACGTAGTCTTTACAATGATGACCACAGTTACGCGCACAAAGATGAGAAGTGTAGTGTAGCGACGTTAAACAGTCAGGGGGCAGTAACGAGGTTCAACTCAGTCTGGCACAGTTTAATTTTTCAACAAGTACAGGAGAAGTGAGTAATTTCAGTCCCATCTTTGTTGGAATAAATAAGAATCGGACTTTTTTCTTTGCAACCTCATCCCACTACCGACTACCGACTACCGACGTTTGATTTCACTCACGTTTATTGTTAAAAAAAATTTTTTTAACATTAATAAATAAAAAGGGGGCTTTTTTGTTTCGCGAACCCTGATGCCTGGTACACACACACACACACACACACACACACACACACACACACACATACAAAAAAAGCGGTCGAACAAAAGGTTTCGTATGATTATGCTCTTTGCGTTTGTTAGCACATAGACTTAGATCGAAAGTAAAATAGTTGCCATTTTACTGTTCACACTGTACTGCTTATCAGGCACGGGGTGGGGGCGGGGAGGGGTTTGCATGTACTGTACTTGTACAGAATTATTATTTTTTTTTGCAAAGGTAGAGGGACAATCCCTTGTTACGAGGAATGCTGTGCAATTAATTAATTGATTGATTGATTGATTGATTGATTGATTGATTAAATACATACATGCATAAATAAATAAATTAAAACGTGCTGCTATTGAGTGCTGGGTCTTCCCGTAAATCTTCACCTCAGCATCCTTCAAAATAACAAGAGCACAGTTTGATTGAGGCAACCTATTTTTGGATGGTTTTAGCATGACAGTATTTCATCCGTTATCAGATATCGGGAGAGGTGATGTGATGGCAGAGAGGTGGTTGGTTATCTGGAGTGGAATTTAAGCACAATTGATCTTTTTTTTGAAAAAAACCACACATTGCTGGGGTTTTTTTTCGCATTTCAGAAGGTCACATCACACGTACGAGTTCCTCACAGTTACAGAATATTCTCGTGATCAATGACGTGCGTTGCAGAATTAGTAATTATTTAAACTGGTGGTGGTGGTGGTGGTGGAGGGGGGGAATAAAGAACACAACGTAAACTTGCAAGGGAAAGCATATTCACCACCTATATATATATGTATATATGAGTTGCTTCATATCTGAGCGAGTAATTAGTTCAGTGTATCTGTATTTCCGATAATCAGTTAGGATGAAATAAGTCATACTGCATTGTGATCAGTGCCACTAAATGTATGTTGCATCACATCAGCCCACATGTCACTGTCATCTTAATTACCCTTTCACCTACAATACCTTTGCCTCTGTCTTGTTCGCCACGCCCACCAATTTAAGAGAAAACAGTAAAAACAATGTTATTGTGAAAATGGGAAGAAGTCCATATATCAAGAATAATAACAAAAAGCTGTCAGTAAATTTAGGACATTAATTCAGTCTCTGGGGTTCGACTGATGTTCATAAACCACTCAAGCTTCGCACTTATAGTTCATATCTTAAGGATATGTATATTATTCGAAGACACTGTCTCCTATCTGAGTTAAATAGATAAATGTTGTATCTGCTCTGAAAATGTAA